TTCATATCGTATACAGGTATGTTCATATCGCATAAAGGTATGTTCATATTGTATACAGGTATGTTCATATCGTATTCAGGTATGTTCATATCGTATTCAGGTTTGTTCATATCGTATTCAGGTATGTTCATATCGTATACAAGTATGTTCATATCGTATACAAGTATGTTCATATCGTATACAGGTATGTTCATATCGTATTCATGTATGTTCATATCGTATACAGGTATGTTCATATCGTATACAGATATGTTCATATCGTATACAGGTATGTTCATATCGTATTCAGGCATGTTCATATCGTATTCAGGTTTGTTTATATCGTATTCAGGTATGTTCATATCGTATTCAGGTATGTTCTTATCGTATTCAGGTATGTTCATATTGTATTTAGGTATGTTCATATAGTATACAGGTATGTTCATATCGTATACAGGTATGTTCATGTCGTATAAAATTATGTTCATATTGTATAAAGGAATTTTCATATATAAAGGTATATCCATATCGTATACAGGTTCGTTCATATCGTGTAAAGGTATGTTCATATCGTATTCAGGTATGTTCTTATCGTATAAAGGTATGTTCATATTGTATTCAGGTATATTCATATCGTATACAGGTATGTTCATATCGTATAAAGGAATGTTCATATCATATAAAGGTATGTTCGCATCGTATAAAGGTATGTTCACATCGTATAAAAGCATGTCCACATTATATAAAAGATGTGTTCACATCGTATAAAGGTTTGTTCACATCGTATAAAAGTGTGTTTACACATTATGAAGACGTAAAGATGTGTTCAAATCGTATAAAGGCATATTCGCATCGTAAACATATAATAGTATACTCTCAGCATATGACGGGAACATTGGATCATTTAATGTCATCTATATACTTAAGACAGTTGTGGCTTTCCATACAGATCGGTGTTGAGAGGACACCGACCTGCAGTGTCAATAGGACGCAGAGGCACTATTGCGTGAAGCTCAAATACCTGAAGATTGGTAGGTAACTAGTAATCGTCATATTGTTCCACTTGTTCCTGGATTCATATTCTCCTTAAACATGTATGTATTACTACAATAACGACATGCCCATTCAGTCTGCATGTTTAGACTTCATGTTTGAGGTAGTTCTGGCATTGTTTGCTACTTCTGTGTAATGTACTAACAAAAGAATATTCGCTCAACTTTTGAGAGTAAAAGAAAATCCCTCAGGTCGGCGTCCTCTCTTCACCGTCTTTCAGGTAAAATATGCGAACATTTATTAATACCAATTTCCAAATATAAACATTTTAATATATACTTTGGCTTGCATTTTGACATGGCCTTATGCACGTGGGAGGAGATACACTTCTATTGATTGGTGGTGTTAGTTCGGCCTTTAAGTCAGACAATAATAATTTATCATTTTTTTAGGGGGAAAATGCGCGACTAACTCTCTAATGTATATGTATGTGCAGTGGTTTGAAATGAGATTTGCTCCATGGCATTATGTTGTCTGTCGTTGCTGCTGACGGGAACATGGAATCTGATAGAGGGACTGTGGTGGAATATAGCATTTGCCAGATTTGCTCACTTTCCCAAAGTGCTAGATGTTGAGAAAATTCATCTATTGATGATAATGGAGGCATTTAAATTGTGGTTTTATAATCCCCTCAATGAATGAATACACACTAAACCGAAATAACCAATAGGAAAAAAAATTGCAATATTTGCTCAAAGAATGAAGTAGAAGACGAATACCATTTTATAACAGCAGTCAAAGAAGTTTATTATATGAGGAAGCCGGAAAGCAAATAAATGATTTTACAAATTTGGAGAAGAGAACAAATTTATAATGATAATGGTAAATTAAAACATTGCAATGAATATTGCATTGGCCAAATTTATATAAAAAAATACTTGATCATGAGACAGCAACACCTCTTACAAATACAATGAGCAATGTACAAACAATGATTGTGGGAGATTCCATATTGAATAACATTGAAAGAAATGGACTATACAGGAATACACACATAAGAACTCTAAGAGGAAAGAAGATCATAGATATTGATACATAATACATAATACAGCAAACAGAAGAAAATTATGTTGAGATCATTGTAGTCCGTGTTGGAACCAATGACATAAGTGATGTCACCTCAGTAGATTCATTCACACGGAGAAGAAATATCCAAAGGCAAAACTCTGCATATCCTCAATCTTAATGAAAGGAAAGAATGTACATGCAAATCTCCAAATTGGTGCTTTAAACATGGAGCTGAAAGTATTGTGTCAGAAAAAAGGGTCTTTTTTCTACATTAATAATATAAATATAGATCCAGAATCACATCTTATTGACACACTTAATCCAAACCACTATGGTACTGGACGATTAGTCAAGAATATGAAGGATGTTATGGCTCCTCTATTAGGAATCCCCAGATACCATCAAAATCAGCAGCGTCATCCTCATAATTCCAACCATCGACAGTTTCAACATTCATCAACTACCGGTAAAAGCCATACAGCCACCAATAAACTAAGAATATGTGTTTTCAACAAGCTATACAAGAACAACATGTACAACTTTATCAATTTCATATTGAAACATTCAAGGCCTAGGTAGTAAATTAGATGATAGTGATTTTGTTAAAAACATGACTAAACATGACATTATTGGTTTAGGAGAAACTTGGTTGAACAATAATACTAAAAATGTCCTACAAATTCAGGGTTATTATTCACATTCAGTTATTAGGCAAAAACAAATTATAGGAGGCATTTCAATACTATTTAAAAAAGATTATAAGAAAGGTATACAAATCTACCCAAATGATAGCGAAGACATTTTATGGTGTCATTAATAATAGACTAACCACATACTTAGAAGAAAATAAAATGTAAAAAAATAATCAGGCTGGTTTTCGTAAAAATTGTAGAACAACAGATCAGATATTATTCATAAATATGTTCAAAAAAAATAAAAAAGTTTTATGTTTGTTTTGTAGATTTCAGAAAAGCGTTTGATAGCTTATGGAGAACTGGTCTGTTCTATAAATTATTGAATGCAGGAGTCAGTGGTAAACTTTATAAATTAGTTAAACACATGTATATAAACCTATGCAGCAATTAAAATTGAAAATAAAAGGACAGAAATATTTAATATTAATAAAAGTGTGAAACAGGGATGTATAGTAAGCCCAACATTGTTTAACTTATATAATAATGACCTAAGTACCTTGTTAGATTCTAATGAAGAACCATTGAATCCAGCTGTTTTTGACAATAAATCAATTAATTCTTTACTCTATGCAGATAACCTGGCTCTAATGACTCAAACACCGTCTGGATTACAAAATGAAATCAACATACTACACACATACTGTAATGAATGGAAACTAGAAATCAATTTGTCTAAAACAAAAGTCATGAAAACATCAGACACGTGGAACTATGGCAATAAAAACATTAATTGCGTTACAAGCTACATGTACCTTGGAATTAATATTGATGACATCATCAGGAAATTTTGAAAAAGCAAAACAAACACTATCCGAAAAAGCATCTAAAGCTCTGTTTGCGCTCAACAAATCACTATTATTTAACACAAATATCAACATCTTTATCAAGTTATTCAATACCATTATCAAACCAATATTATTATATGGTGCAGAAATCTGGGGTTCAGAGATCATTGATTTCACAAAAAGAATGCTAGAGGTGCTATTGAAAAAATACAAAGAATTCTTGGACTGAACAAATATGCTGGCAATGCAGCTTGTAGAAGTGAGATTGGTAGTTTACATACTTCCATGTTTAAATATTAGTTAAGACTACGGGAACTTCCAGAAGACAATATAACAAAATGGTCATACAAAAAAATCAACATAATAGTAATATTTTGATGCACACAATAAAAGGCATGTTGACAGAAATTAATCAGAACTCACTGTATGATACAGAGGAAACAATCTTAGACTCAAAATCCAAAAATTTGATTAACAAAGTGAAATGTCAAATGAAACAAAAATACACTGATCATTGGAGATCAGACATAAGGAAAGATAATAGAAAATTACGTACATACTCAAAATTTAAGAAAGATTTTTGTTATGAACAATATTTATCAAATGTTGTAAATATTAAACAAAGAATCAAAATTTAGGATAAGCAATCATGACCTTGGTATAGAAACAGGCAGATACACACACCCCAAAACAACATTACAAGATAGAATTTGGCTACATTGTGATTCGCATAATGTAGAAGATGGAGAACATTTACTCAGATTGTCCAGAATACATGACATTACGGCAAGATTTGTTCTCACATATAATATTCCCAAAAGAAATCAAAACTAATAATGAAAAATTTCAATTTATAATGACAATAACAGACAAAATTATTATTATTATTATTATTATTATTATTATTATTATTATTATTATTATTATTATTATTATTATTATTATTATTATTATTATAGCGGCATTTAGCTCCATAGATGGGTATCGACATTGTAAGTTTGCCGTCCATAAATGTAACTCTCAATGTTAGGGGTTAAAGGTCATGACCTTTTAAAATGGCGGTTGTGTAAGAAAGACCAAAGCAGCGACGTCGGTAGTTTGTTCACGTATCCGTAACCGGTATTTTAAACAAGTTTACAATGAAGTATTTAAGCGCTAGTCGATCTCAGTACCACTAACAGATATCGTTATCCAATCATCTATAAAATAACTGGATAAACAGTGTCATGTAGTTACTATTATTATTAGCACCAGAAATGTCCCAACCACAGTACGTAAGTTACGGCATCAACCGTGACTGTGAAACTCTACTCCATAAATTTGTTCAGACTGAAAGCGTACGATACGAGCAGTTTGCTGCTATTTGGAGGCAGATGAACTTCACTCTTGTAAGATGGTTAGTAATAATAAATTTTCTTTATTGTGTTCTGCTTCGATCGTCATCTTCTATTTCAGGTATCAATTCTACTGTAGCTGGCGAATAATTTTTCCCCAAAAAATAGGCACAGACAAAATTATGAAAACAAAGTCTACAGGGGAAATGACAGATATTTTGCATTAGAGCGAGATCTGCTCACTAACATCATTTACCTTACTAGGTGGTCCAGGGGCATGCTTCCCCTTACAAATGTTGAAATCTAGACCCTCTGAAATGCTATTTCCTGCATTTTGAGGGGCAAATTTTGCTGACACAAAGGGTTTCAGTTTCAGTAACCCTTACTGTTATTTTTAATATTCACATTTGATGGTCTACTTGTCAATTCGTTTTCTATGTTGTATTTTACAACGGCTAGCATAATAGGTGATTTTCTGTTCAACTGTGAGATCTCGTGAGATGCATGAAAGACCCGCGTTGAATGTCTGCCGCACAAACCGAACAATTTGATTTTGAACTTGAATTTCTTTATTTCGTAGCTCACATCGACCGACCGATCATCGACAGAGGAATATTGCTTTCGAATACTCTCACTTAATCAAAATTGCCTATCATCAAATGTGTACAGCACATTATTAAGCAAGGGAATGCCCCAAAATATATTTTCCTGTTTGTCGAATCCCACGCGATGTTTGACGCTGCTGTGACCTTTGTTTCTCCTGTTTTTACGTTTGATTTCACGAATAACGCATGATTCTCGCAGTGAACGGAAAATGGTCTATTGAAAACACTTTCTTGTCCAGAACAATGTATTCAGACAATTGAATTGCTGGTACTTGTATATACTTCTTTAAAACCAAAATTTACATTTTCACAGCAAATGAACAAATAAACTTCTCATTGGTTAACAGTGTGGAAATGAATTTAAAAAGCTTTTACATAGATGTGTATAAAAAAGGCATGCTGTACAACCATTTTATCTTAGTTAATTAATATTCATAATTTGGCTATAACATAAAGACTAACTTTGATTGCAAAATGTTTACATGACAAAAATATTATTTTCTTCACTGCAGTGGACTCAAAACACAAACACATGTTAAAGAGGTAAGTTTTTTTAAACTTTATTCATCCATACAATGAAAAAACATACAAGATAAAAATGTATAGTATATTTATCATATGAAATATTCATAGTCAGAAAATGGTTATTATCCTGCAACTATCATCTCTTGATACTTTAATAGTTTCAACAATTTATACCAATTTCTGAGATTCAGTAAAAAAGAAAGAATTATACAACTACCGTAAATCTGTTTACCTGGATATGTTGATTTGAGTGTTTCCCCATGAAAAAACTCAGTAATTTTCCTTCTAGTTAATGACATTCTTTAATGTTGATTCTCTGATGGGGCGGAATGGTTGAATTTATGCATGAGTTTTCATGCTGTGTTATCGGAAAAATAAAAATATTTATGGCTTGCATGCATCTTTAATTTAGCAAATACAGTAATTTAAGTAAACCGCTGTTTTTGTCTGTTCATCGTTTAACTTTTACATGTTCTATGTGAATATAATATATCATTTCTGTCAGATCTGGTACTAACAATTGCTGTTATATTCAAGTGTACATTTTTTGCTTTCAGTTTATGGAGGACACTTTCTTGACTGTGACTTCATTCTTCTTGCCACCATATGGATTTCAAGTTAGAGTTGGTGCATTGTATCTATTATATGCTTTCTACTACACTCAAACTGAGGAACCTAAAATAAAGGTACATACAATGGTGATGATACAGTGGTTCTCTATGAGGCGTGAATCATGAATTAGGCCACACACAAAAATTATGTTGCCCTCAAATTTTTTTTTTTTTTCATTCATCAAATTCGTGACAACTAAGAGTATCGTAAATAGCCAAGGTATATGGACTTCATAGTATTCGGAACATGTCAGAGAAATACAGATCAACTCAAGGTTCAAAGTCGCCACTTACGGGGACTCTGGGGATCAAACAACAGTTAGGGATTGTTAATTTCTAGAGGAAACACTTTTTTACTGCTTAAAATGGTCAGTTTCTGGGCTTATTAAAAAAAAAAAAAAAACGCGACCCGATATTTTTCGGTCGGTCGCTGAGGACAACAAAACAATTCTTTTTTTGGCCTTATACATGAAATCAAACATGGAAGAATGAAGGAAAAACAAAAGTCATAGCATCGTAGTGGCCTCAAAACATTGCACAGGATTTGACAAATGTGAAAGTATTGTCGTTCTATTTCCATGCTCAATATCTGATGATGGTCAATGATGACAAAGTAAGGGTATTTTAACACCATCTCCCCTCTGAAAGATTAGCATTTTGACATTGACCCACTAAAAAATTCAAATCATGCAATTTTTGCAGCAGATTTTCATTCGCTAGATGAGATCTACAAGTGAGCTGACAATCACCTAAGCTGTCATTACAGAATTTTACAATCATTGAACTATTCACAATGTACGTACTTTCTTTGCATTTCAGGCATATTCAGTGGGTTTTAAATTCACAGTTTTATCATTTAGATGTGTTCTATGCTAAATTTTACATATTCACTGGGTTTTAATTTAGCGCATTTCCCAGTCAGCGAAATAAGCAAAATTAAATCCCAGTGAATAATTAATCCTTTTACAGTATTAATAAATTTTAAGTGATTTCATATGTTTTTTCACCAGATTCGCATCACTTTAAACCAATGGCCCAGTGTGCTTGCATTCCATGAAGAAGTAAAACGACAACAACATTTTGATGCCGATTATATCTTCCGAAAACTTCGAATGGAGAAGGCTTTTTTATTTGTTGCTACACCAGCCAAGGTAGGCGCCTGTTTCAATGAATTTCATGTATATTTTAAACATACATCTGCTTAGTGTGAACAAATTAATAATTTATTCAACTATTTTGTGCTGACTCTTCTGGGGTAAAGGCAGGCATAATGCTCACTTACACCGATTTACCAGAAAGTACCAAAAATGGTCAGAATTATCCTGGATTTCAATGGCATGATAAATATTCCTGTCTTAGGTAGCACTCAGAGTCTAATTCCAGGTACGCTCCTGTATCCTTTTCAGTATTTATGATGCCCTCGTTGGTAAGAATTGGAAATTGTATCACAAAAGAGCTGTAGTGCAGATGCATTCAAATAGTATGTTAACAAAATATATGACACATGTTGTACATGTATGGGTTATATTTAAGGATGCTGTATACTTCTTTAGTCCCCGTTCAGACGAAGTCCGAAAACGGGGACTTATAATTCGGTCTCCGTCCGTCTGAAGTCATATCTCAGAATCCCTTGGACAGATTCCGTTCATTCTTTGCGTGTGCCTAGTACTTTATGTGGGACATATGCACATGCAGTGGTTTAGCGATTCGATTCAAAATGGCCGACTGGCAGCCATCTTGTTTTTTGAAAATGTTGTATTTTGGACATGCTTTGTCAGTTGTCATTCAAACTTGGTACATAGATTATACATGTTAGAATACATGTTCATGACGATTTATTTCGCACTTGGATCAAAGATGGTCGACTGGCAGGCATCTTGTTTTTGTTTTTTTATGTGGTATCTTGAACGTGCTCTGTCAATTTTCATTCAAATTTCGCACATACATGTACTTTATTTTATACATGTTAGGATGCATGCGAGTTCTGAGGCCTGAGATTTTCTTTCAGAGCCATCAAAATCGCTGAGACTGACCGCGTCACAGCAAGGTCGCGCGTCCAGTAAACAGATCGGTTAAAGTGAGTTGCGTGTTTGGCATGAGTGGAAAGTCCTCACGCTCGGCTACCGGTACTTCATGTACCGGGTCGTCGAGTAAGAGGCCCAACGGCGGAGGTACCGATATTTTTCCCGGTCTCCCCCGCTGATCGGAGGGCATCCTCACAGTCTGTCCAAAGTCCAAAGCAACCCCGTCGGCAAGTCTCTCCCTGTCCGCCTGAGTGCGGAGTGGGGCGCAGAGCACGCAAACGGTGTTGATGGGCGGCATTGGTTTGCCGCGGAGGATGGTAGTGGCGCGCCCCCAGGGAGGTAAGAGCCAGGTGGTGGCTCCTCACTCTCCCTGGGCGGATGTCTACCCGGCAGCAAGGGAGGCATGTTTGACGCTCACCTCTGCAACCAGGGGGGACAGGCACGTGTTCGGTGAATGGCCAGGTCACAACTTACATTGTAGTGACTACTTCAGGCCTTGGGGAACTCACCTCATGGG